AGCTAGCCTTCAGCAATTTAGCAAGGAGTGCCCAAGAAATTTTGTGAGATCCTGTCTCTAAATAAAAAACTAAAAAGGAAAAAAAAAAAGGTGAGGCCAACTGCAAGATAATTAGATCACAGGGACATCACCCTGGGCAAAGATTACTGCTTCTCTTGCAAAGAGAGTGAGTTCTCTCACTTGAGTTTTTGTAAAGGGAGCAAGACTAGCCCCTGAATCTCTGGCTTCCCATGTGTTCTCTTCTGCCTGTGGAACCACTATAGTGATGCATAAGCTATGAGATCCTGACCAAAGGCTAAACATATGGGGACACACAACCATGTACTTTTCAGCATCCCAAACTCTGAATTAAGAACCCTCTTATTTTATATTCCCCTGCCTCTGGTATTTTATTATAGCAACAGAAAACAGACTGATACAGGGGCACTGTTATCTTTATGAAATTGAGTCCTCCTATCCAATAGCATGGAAAGTTTTTCATATATGTTTGAAAGCCTACTTTTGTCTTTTTCAGAAGGGTTTTATAACTTGCCTCATACAAGTCTCATATAACTAATAACTATTGATTCAGAGGTTGTAAGGATTCAAATTTCAACTTACAGATGAGAAACTGAGGATTAGAAGGACTAAGTGATTGCTTGACATCACAGGGTCAGCTCTGAGACCAGGTCTTCTGGCTCCCATCATAGCACTTCCTGTTATACCACCGGTCTTTGTCAGTTATGCGTTGCTCTGACGGAATGCTGGAGGCTGGGTGTTTTAAAAATAAAACAAGTCTGTTTAGCTAATTACTCTGGTGACTGGAAAGTCCAAATAGCCTAACATCTGGCGTTTTGGTGCACTCCTTCCCACCCCATACTCCACCCCCCACTGCGTTAAAAGAAGTGGGAAGGGAAAAGACCATTTTGAAGGGACAAAAATGCACCTGCAGAAGTGGAGGGACATCTTACCACACTTGCCCTTACCCTCTGGTGTAGATAGGATGCCCTGCTAGCTGGTTCTTAGCAGCCGTCTGTCACTTTCAATTGTGTCTCAATGGTAAACAACTACGCAACTCATGGTTCAATTTTTAATGCCTATCTTCTCAAGAATGAAAATTCCACAAAATAAGGGGCCTATAGGTCTTGTTTACCACTGAATCTTGGGCCCCTGCACAGTATTTTATCCTCCAATGGCCTGTGTCCTCCAACCACACCCTACCTGCCTACAGTTAAACAAGATGTGATTTCTAATCGAAAGACTATGAGTTGATGAAATTGAAGGGAGATCAGTAGAGTAGAGGGGAGGGTGAAGGATGGGAGAGAGGGAAAGGGAAGTGCCGGAAAGTGACGTTAGCCAGATTGTACAGTTACATTGTAACAACAGATCCCATCATCCTGTACAACTACAATGCACGGTAGAAAATGGGGAGAAACAAAAGACAGAAAGACTAAGAGTTAGCTCAGCAACCCCTGAAGAAGTGCTAGGCTGCTGCCACTGCCTCACACTGGATCTAGGTAACATCTATTTTGGGTGTATCTTCAACTAGAAACTCAAGGCCTCCAACAGCATCATCTTTCTAAAATGATGGAGGTCATGTACTTATTGTAAATGCCAGGTTTGCCATATGTATATTTCTAAAAGGAGTTTCCTGCCCTTAACATAAGTAGAAAGAGTGGATTCACATTGAACTGCTCTACTTTAAAAAGAAATAGAGTAGCAGAAGCAGAAGCCAGATTGCAGAGAGTTGGAGAGTGAATCACAGATTCACAAAAGGAGGAGGGACTGCTCTTATCTGGCCCGGAGTTTAAAAATCAGTCTTTGGTTTGCCGTATTCCTTAACATTTTCTTACCTTCTTCAATATTATAACTACAAATAATTTAAAATGTAATTCATATTTTGGAAAAAGCCTAAGGTCACTTTGAAGATGTTTTTTACTATAGACAATTCACATGTGAAAACCTTAAAGCCAGCTTTTCACACATAAAACATGCTTTACCCAAATTACATTGTTCTATTGTGTGCATGTAGAAATATGTAACAACAAATCCTACTGTTATGTGTAATTATAATGTACTCCGTTAGTCTGCTTTTTTGTCACTGTGACCAAAATATCCAATAAAAATTGATTTTGGCTCATAGTTTTAGAGATTCAATCCATGGTCAGCTGACCCATTTCTCTGGGCACAAGGTGAGGCAGATGTACGGCAGAGGGCATGGCAGAGGAAAGCTACGTGGCAGTCAGGATGCAGAAAGAAAGCATGAGGTGCTTGGGACAAAATATAATTCCACAGGCATGCCTCCAATGGCGTACGTCCTCCAACCACACCCTACTGCCTACAGTTATTGCCCAGCATAGACGCCTTTCAGATTATCAGTCACTCAAATGGATTGATCCACTGATTAGTTTACAGCCCTAATAATCTAATTGTGAGCCTTCAGCGGACACCTCCTATCCAAACCACAACATGCACCAATAAAAAAAAGTGTAAGACGAAATAATTTTTTTAAAAATTAAAAACGTGTTAGCAAATGATAACATTCAAAGATATTTCACTAGTTATCAGAGAAATATACATCCAAGCCATTTTATACCCATAAGATTGGCACAAACAAGTTTAAAGTTGGGGAACACCAAGTCTGAGGATGATACAGACCAACAAAACTCTAAACCCTTCTTGTGGGAGAGGCAACATAATACTGTGGCTGAAGGCAGGGAGTCCTGAGCCACTGGGCACGGCATCCAGTCCCGGCTCTGCCTCTGCCTTGCTGTGTATCCCAGAAAGGTGTTTCCCAGATCACCTGACTTTGGGCAAGTTATGTATTATCTTGACATCATCCGTAAAATCCGAATGATGATATTAGAACCTTCCTCAAGAGGACTAATGGTTATTGATGAGATAACAAAACATGCTATATTATTTGCTAATGTTATTAGAACAACTTTCACTAGTGCTAGTAAAGTTGAAGCTGTGCATAGCACACTCAGCAATTTTACTTTAACTGCATACCCTAGAGACATTCTTAGAGGTGCATACAGGAGGCATATGCAAGAATTTACATTGCAGCATGTTTGTAATGGAAAACTGAAAACAGTGAAAATATCCATCTGTGAATATTTCAGAAAAAAACATTCTTGGTGTATTAGAACTGGTTGCCAAAGATGGAAGATGTTGTGAGGCCAAAGAAAAAGGCAAAGAGAGGCAGAATTACACGTTTACTTTGTTAAAAACTGGCAGAGAGCAGTGTGACTTCAGTGGCAGCAAGACAGCAGGATCCCTGCACCCCTAAACATTAGGAAGGGGGTTGTATGTTAAGATAGGCAAAGACGGGCTATGGTCAACTAGAATGTATGTGGGTTTTTTTTTTTTTCAAAAAGTATTAAGTTAAATATCAGTTAAAAAACAGTCTGGGCATCAGTGGCTGATAAGGCACGTTCAGCCAACTATCCTAACTGACTTTGTCTCACAGGGTTTGGGATGAGTGCTATTGTCACCAGGTGGGAAAAAGGGTGATTATAACCCAGATGGCTATAGATATGTCAACATGGAACCCTACTGTAGGATAATGGATTTATCAAAATCTGTGGGATATTTATAAAAGAATACCATATAGCAGTGAAAAAATGTTATTGCAGTGGTTCTTGAACTTTAAATGCATTATAATCACCCAGAGAACTTGTTAGAATACAAGTTACTGGGTCTCGGGTTGTAGCTCAGTGGTAGAGCACTTGCCTAGCACATGTGAGGCCCTGGATTCAATTGTCAGTACCACATAAAGATAAATAAATAAAATAAATGTATTGTGTCCAACTACAACTAAAAAATAAATAAAATTTTAAAAGTATTGTGTCCATCTACAACTAAAAATATCTATTTTTTAAAAATTACAAGTTACTGGACCCCACTTCCAGAGTTTCTGATTCAGTAGATCTCTGGTGACCCCCAAGGATTTGCATTTCTCAAGTGATGTCGATGCTGTTGATCCAGGACTACATTTTTAAGAATTCTCTGAATTGAACAGCCATTAATCAGCATGGACAGATCTTACAAACAGAATGTTAAGTGGAAAAGACAAGTTGCAAAATATGGCATACAATTTGATACCATATACGTAATTTTAAAACATAAAAAAATTTACATGTGTACATGTAGTGATAATCACAGGACTAGGACGGGTAACTATAGTTCTTTGGACCTAAACACCATTCATTCCTCATCACATGCTTATTAACAAGAGGCATCCTTTCCCTTTCAGAAACAACTAACTAAATAGACCTAGGTAGATTTCATGTAAAGAACAGCAAAAGAAAAATCAGTTAAACTAACGCTTAGCCTAGGATGGTTATCAGGAAATCAGCAATGATCTTTTTCTGATATTCTTAAAATTGTAAAAATATCACACCTTACCTTTGCAGCATTTATTTCCTTTCAAAATATATATAAATAAAAAATCACAGGGCTACATACTATGGGGAATTTGAAGAAAAGACAAATTGGAAGGGGAACACTATGTTTTCCCGTAATAGGAAAGTGAGTCCACAGAAGCTGTGCCTGGTGGTAAATACTAGGCAGAAAAGGCACTGCCTTGGAGTCTGGATTAAAATCGTGGTTCCTTGAAAGCTATAGTGTGGGGAATGTGGAGGGTAAGGTCTGTTTCTGATTTGTCTGTGTATCCTGAGCTCTTCACATAGTAAGGGCCTGAGATATAATACACATATATAATATTTTTATATATAACATCATATACATATCTTCATAGAAAGGAGGAAGCTTCAAATACTACCAGTTCAGCAGTAAACTAAGGGGTCACTATCCGGGTACAAGAAAGGGACCGAGCACTGGTAGTCTTTGAGGTTTTTGGAATTTCCAACAAAGGGCGCGGCTACTTCCGGAGCGGCGTCGGAATCTCTTGCCGGCATCTGTGAGTTTCTGCGGGAAGGATTTAGAGAGAGGACCACTTCCTGCTTCTGGTTAGGGGAGGGTGCAGGGAAAGGAAATAGTTCGCGGAGCGGCGTCCTGCCTGCGCTAGCGGCGGCAGAGGCGGAGGCAGAGAGGAGAGGAGGGCGGAGGAGGCGGAGGAGGCTGCGGCAGAGAAGAAAGTGTCAGAGCCGGTAAGTGAGCTGCGGTAGAGCCGCGGACACCGGACGGCGCGCCAGGTCTCGCTTTGCAAACGCGGGATCCCAAGTTGCCGAGCTGCCCGCTCGGGTCAAGCCAGAGCGTCGTCGGTCGCCCGTCAGTGGGCGCCGAAAAGAGGCTGTTGGGGCGCCGGGCCGGGCCTCGCGGGGCGCCAGGCTGCGCGCTCGCTGGCTGACAGCCTGTCCTGGACCCGGGGGAGGTGCCGGCCGCCCTGCCGGGGGCGCTGGGGGTCCGCGCCCCGCACGGCTGCCTCCGGCGGTGCGTGAAGGCGGGGAAGGAAGCGAGTCCTGGGCGTCCCGTGGAACCCTCGGTCCGGCGAGATCCCGCCGAGTGGGTGGCCAGCAGCGTTTCTGGGGCCAAGGGAAGGGCTCGTGAGTCCGCAGCCGTCCTCTCCCTGCCCTGTGCCAGCTGCCCGGGGCTTCGAGACGAGAGGTTGGGTAAAGGCGGTTGCCGCCCCCTGTGCCTTGTCACTTAGGAGCAAGTTCACGCCCTTCAGGTCCCGTGTCAACCCGCGCATCCCCACCCGGTCCGTCCGGTGGGCACTGTTGTGGGTAGCGGCGATTACCCTGGAAATGCACTTGTTGGCGAAGGCGGAATTAAGAGTCTCTGGGGAGTTTTTGAGGAGGGACAAGACTTATCTAGCAATCAGGACCATTTATCGCACTTTCCTGCACCTCGCAGGTGACCGTCTGAGCCTGCAGAGGAAGGATAGTCCTCCTACCCGCCCTGGACTCCGTGGTGATTAGAAGTCTGAGGGATATTACTATATGAAGTTCTTGATTGCTGACAAAATAAGTGAAATTATTATAAAAGGTTTTTTTTGCTGGAAAAATCAGAAATAACGTTTATTAAGTTACTGGTTTTTGTTTGTTTGTTTTAGGTTCGGCTTTAGAGTGTAGTGAAGGATACTTTTCATGGTGCATGGAAGGAAAGCCAATGCGCAGGTAGGCATTTAGGAAGAAAACCATAAGTTACACTAAACGAAATTCAGCATGTTTAAACTCGAGGCTTTTTTTTTTTTTTTAAAGGTTCTCAAATCTTATTAAATTTTGCTTAGAACAAATGATTCTTGTTCTAAAATAAATCATATTCTTCTTTGTTCAAACATGTTTTATGGTTACTGAACTCTATTTAATCATTTGTTATTTAACAGCAAAGATAACTCTTGGAGCCCTTTTTAAGAGAACCATTTCATGATGAGGGTATGAGTAAGAACTAGGAACTAGAATCAGAATATATTTCCTTTTCTAGTTCTCTTATTTTCAATGGACCTTAAGCTTTGCACCTCTGTAGCCCAGTTTACTTTTCTAGTATATCTGACCAGGATGTTGGTAATTCGTGAATGTTTGCTCTTGTTTTGATATTACTAAATGAAAAGATGTTGTGGAAGTGACACATTCTGTTTTCTTATATGTCTTTCTCTACAATAGAAATATTTGTAAAGTACATGAAGAAACATTAAATGTTTCACTTCATTTTCTAACATTGCAAAAACCATTGATTGCTTCTCTTCCTCATCTGCCATAAATATCTTATGTAATTGCTAAAATTAGACCTTTTTAAGGAAAGGCAGTGTGTGTGGGAATGTTTTTGGTTTATTAATAATTTCTCTATAAAATATTCACTTAATTACTCATATCTGTTTTTTTATCTGTTCTTTTTTTTTCTTGCTCTATTACATAATACTGTCAGGTATTCAAACTCCTGTTGGATGATTCCAGTGCCATTGTTAAATAACAGCTCTTTCTTCATCACTCTCACTTGGCCAGAGGCTGGCCTGCCTGTTGTTCTCTAGTCTTACTTTTACCTGCTGCCTATTAACTTCTGTCACACTTCCCTACCTTTCTTTGTTTGGCTGTCAGTTGCAGCTGCATCCCAGAAGTCTCTGTAAAATAACATTGGGCTTATACTCAGCTGCTATTAAAGAAGCTTTGGATGAGAAGTAACTTTATTGAGATTATTTGAATACAAGTTCATTCTCCCTGTTAGATTGGGAGCTGAGTTTCATAGGTCTTTATATGTTTGCACCCCTAACACCTAATGATCACTGAATAATTGAATGAACAGCTTCTGCAGACAATCTGTAGAGGGCTATGAAAAAGAAGAGACTGAGCTATGCACAGTGACTCAGGTATACCAGCTATCAAGAGGCTGAGGAAGATGGGTGACAAGTTTGAGGCCAGCCTCAGCAACTTAGTGAGTCCTGTCTCAAAATAAAATTTAGAAAGAGCTGAGGATGTGGCTCAGAGGCAGAAAGCTCCAGTGCCATACACACATATGCGCGCGCGCACACACACATACACACACACACACACACACAGAGTTTCAAATTAGTATTAAAGGTATTCTTTTTGTGTGCTTTTTTTTCCCCACTCAGAATTATTTTGAGTTCATATTTATGGAGTACAGTGTGATAATTCAATACATGTATACAGGTGTAATAGGTTAATCAAGGTAATTAGCATTTCCATCTTCTGATGTGAATTAGTATAGCCATTATTAAACAGTATGGAAATTCCTCAAAAACCTAAAGCTACCATATATCCAACTATCACCTTATGAGGTATGTATACAAAGGAAATTACTACATCAAAGATATATATATATATATATATATATGTATTCCTGGGCTGGGGTTGTGGCTCAGCGGTAGAGCACTCGCCTAGCACGTATGGGGCTCTGGGTTCAATCCTCAGCACCACATGAAAATAAATAAAATAAAAGTATTGCGTCCAACTACAACAAAAAAAATACTAAAGAACAGATATATGCATTCCCATGTTTATTATAGCACTATTTATAATAGCTAAGACATGAAATCAATTGAGGTATCCACTGATGGATGAATAGATACAGAAAATGTAATAAACACATGTACACACACAGGAATGTTATGTAGCTATAAAAAAAGAGTAGAATCTTGTCACAGCAATCTCAATGGAACTATAGGACATTTTGTTAAATGAGATAAGCCAGGTACAGAAGGACAAATGTTGCATATTCTCATTCAAACGTAGAAGCCAAAAAAAGTTGATTTCATAGAAGTAGGGAATAGAAGCTGGGCAAGGTGGCCCATGCCTGTAATCCCAGCAGCTCAGGAGGCTGAAGCAGGAGGATGGTGAGTTAAAAGCCAGACTCAGCAAAATCGAGGCATTAAGCAACTCAGTGCGACCCAGTCTCTAAATAAAATACAAAATAGAGCTGGGGATGTGGCTCAGTGGTAGAGTGCCTCTGAGTTCAATCCTCAGTACCCCTGCCCTTCCCTGCAAAAGAGGGGGAGGGGGAGGGGGAGGAGGAGGAGGAGGAGGAAATAGTGGCTAGGAATTGGGGGAAGGGGAGAGGAATTCAGGGAGGTTAGATAATGGGTACCAAAATACAGTAGATAGGAGGAATAACTGTTTTACAGCACAGTAGGATAACCATAGTTTACAACACTTTATGATATTTTATAAAGAACTAGAAGAGAAGAATTTGAAGGTTCCCAACACAAATAAATGATAAATGCTAGATATTCTAATTCTTAATTATAAAGATTATGAAATTAACTGGCATTTTTAGTAAAGTTATTCACTTAAGTATTATGTGTACATGGGCAAAATTTTAAAAATATACTAGCATATTCAGTGAAAAGTGAATCTCCCAGTGTTGATCCCAGCTCCTAGTTTTCTTCTCCAAAGGCAACCTTATACATTCTTTCAGAGGCATTGTAATACATATAAAACATATGAAGAATATCTGCCCTTTATAAAAAAAATTGATGTAGGCATATTATGTACAGTTTTCAATAAATAAATTATTCAGATATTTTGCTGTTACAACCAGTTCTGCAGTAAATATCCTTTGTTGTTGTTGTTTTTATGGTACCGGGGATTGAACCCAGGGCCTTATGCATGCTAGGCAAGCATTCTACCAACTGAGTTGTATCCCCAGCCCTCCAGTGAACATCTTTGTAGATGGTTTTTACTAAAATGTGTAAGAGTAGAATAAATTCTTAGATGTAGAATTAACCAGGCAAAGTATATGGGCATTTTAAGTTGCTGAGGCTGGCCTTGACTTTGACATCCTTCTGCCACAGCCTCCTGAAACTCTGGGATTACAGATGTGTACCACCACTCTTGATGAGTATGCACATTTTAAAATGTTGGTAGATATTGACTAATTTTCCTCCTCAGAGATTGTACCAATTTGCAGTCTTACCAACAATATTATAATAACACTAATAATGTCCTAAGATGTTATTTTTAATAATTTAGAGAAACTAAAACATTTTATAATATAGTTTTCCATTTTTCCATAAAAATATAAATTGGAAACTGAGTCTAATTCTATTAGAAATTGGCTCATTTAGTCATCAAGTGTTTATAAAATACCTGTATGTGTCGGTATACTGATTGTATACAGATGAAGTGATAGAAACAGACATCAGTATTTTAATAGAGATGTAAATCCTGAGGACGGAACTTCTGCTCTGTGGTGATGTGGAGAGCATCACAGAGATGGTGATATTTAAGCTGGATCTTCTAGAAAGGATAATAACTTACTTCTGAAGAAGCAAGTAAATTAATGACACCATAAACAGAAGGAAGAATTTGTAAAGAAACAAAAATAATGGCACCCAAAATCAGACATGGATAGAATGTGAGTTTATGGAGTGTAAGGTATATGGGGAACGAAGTGGAAACCAGAAAAACATGGAGAACAAAACTACAGCCATTGGAAAGAGTTTGACCTTTATTCTTTACATATTTAAGAGCCAATAGACCTTGTCTCAAAATATAATAAGGACTGATTTTCCTCCTCAAAGATTGTACCAATTTGCAATCTTACCAACAATATTATAATAACACTAATAATGTCCTAAGATGTTATTTTTAGTAATTTAGAGAAACTAAAACATTTTATAATATAGTTTTCCATTTTTCACCCTGAGTTCAATCCTCAGAAACACCAAAAAAAAAAAAAAAAAAAAGGAAGAGGATAGGTTTCAATAAGCTATGAATACAGTCTGTTTTGTTCACTTGAGGATTATTGTGTCTGTATTCATCTTATAACTGGATTATGGGTCTGGAACTGAAGAGAGATTTGAGCTAGGAATTTCTTTTAAAAATTCCAAGTCATCCTCAGTGGCTAGGGAGGCTGAGGCAAAGAGGATCACAAGTTCAAAGCTAGCCTTAGCAAAAGCAAGGTGGTAAGCAACTCAATGAGACCCTGTCTCTAAAAAAAAAAAAATACAAAATAGGCCTGGAATGTGGCTCAGTGATGGAGTACCCCTGAGTTCAATCCCCCATAGCTCCCCCGCCTCAAAATTCTAAGTCATCAGTATGCAGAAAGTTCTTCCGGCTATTGACATGAATGAGGGTAGAACAGGAAAGGAGAATGCCAAGGACAGAACCCTAGGCAGTACCAGGGGTGTTTAAGGTGGAACCTAGGAGGAAAACCCAATAAAAATTCTAAAATGGATAGAGACATTAGGTGCTTTGGGTATTATTTACTTGTATCTAGAGATTTTACTGATAACTTTTTGCCCATAGTGAAAATCATATAAGCTATTTCATGAATTTAATTACAAAAGAAAAAAATCTATTTAGATCTCTTATCTTTAAAGATTTTCTAAAAGGTATACTTAAAAATAGTGGAAAATAGATCTGCTTGATCTGATGTCCCCTGGCATGCATAAGCAGTAGGTCTGCCTGCTCAGCACTGCTCCCCTTCCCACCTTCACGAGACTCATGAGAAAATTAAATACTGTGCTCTACTTCTTAAGCTTTTTTGCATTTGGGGGTGGCTATGTTATACTATGTTGCCCACAGAGTGTTAGCAGAAGTTGCTGAGAGGTATTCTAGGGAGGTTTTCCTGACACACAGGGAGACTAGCTTGCTGGCACGGCTTCTTGCCCTTCCTTCTCCTCCTTGCCTTGATCCCTGGCCCAACGCTTATACTCATT